GGAATAAATGCAATTCTGTGTAGAAAATTGATGCAATTTTTTTCATTTTTCAGAATGTGGACTCTTATTGGATGAATAGAAAAACTACTGATGATGTTCATAGGTTCGTTATTACTATTGTTGTCATAGAGATCCTCAAGTAACTTTTCACGAAATGTCGAGTATATTGCACGGTCAACAAATAAAACTGAATAATGGCATGTCCATAAGCATCAAATTTCTTTAGGAGTGCATTATGCAATCAGGAAAGGTAAATACAACTTCATAATATATACTATTTATTCCAATATAAATCAAATTTGGCAAGATTTCTTTGTGGTATAGTGCGCACAGAAGCTTGTGAATAATAAAGGAGTAGAGGTTCAAATCCTGGGAAGAGACACTTAGTTTTAGAAAGTAGATACAATAAATATATTTTGTTGAATATTTTTAATGTAAATATTGTTCAATAAAATATGCCGCAAAAACCGATAAAAGCTCGGAATTGCATTACGAATTGTTCCAAGGTTATTGCCTTTACCTAAGTGTCGGATGCCATAGGCAGGAAGCAATAAGCAATGTGCTTTTGAAAACTAGTGAAGTTATCTAGTAATTATCGGTGTCTTTGGACTGCCACCGCTACTGGATTTAATTTTATGTAATTGAACATGAACGGATATAGAGGCCTTAGTTTAGCGTCCTGTTTCAAGAACAATTGGCGATGAAAAGTATGTAGTACTATTTTGCTACCAGTAGCCTTTTCTGGGTCATCAATAACAAACCTAGATTATCTTTGCCAAATGATAACTTTCATAGAATTTGATTGTATTCATTTTCTTGCTGCTGATTAAAAATAATGCAATGATTAAACCGAACAAATATAACAAGTTTTTGTAAATATAGGAAAAACTGCGCAGTAGCAATTTTTTTTCACTGCATTTTGCGATTACGTTATTCATAAAATTATGAATATTGGAATTCAACACTTCGACCTAGAATAACGCATTCAAATTTGGGACCGCTATGTTCACCTACAATTTTAAAATACCATACGTTTCTATACACATACCTCGTTAAAATCATAAAAATCTTCGGAAAACGTGCAGGCGTGGCGCTGGCAAGTTTTGGTCTCCTTGCCAAAACAAAGACGAAAATCTCAAATGGCATTTCAAACCGGGCGCAGAACTTCTTATGAGTACCCTTACTCATATTTTAAGCCGCAAGATGGTTGGTTTGTTCGACTCCTCTGTTTGATTCTTGGCGAAGTAGACCGATGATAAGTACAACAATTGGTTAATGAATCATCTCTATTAATGGCGCATACCTCAAATCGCAGCCGAAGTCAATTCCAATAATTTAACCCTCATGTATCTTATTTGAAGAATGTCTTTTTGAACTACCAACAAGTATACTGAATATTTTTTTTGTTTTTCAATGGTTAGTTAAGTTTGACATGAAAATCAACAGAAGACATTTGTTTAATATAAATGAGGACAAAAATAAATGAATAATTTTTTCATAGTAAATTTTTCACTTTTCCCTTCATTACACTTCTGCAGATTCTCTATTGTTTTACCTTTGTTATGACAAATAACAGCAATAAATATTGACTCCTCCACAAAAAAGTCTTCCTTTCTTTTTTTTTAGGACGAAACAAAAGCACTACTGGAAAATCCTAAAGGCGCTCTTGGAGCGGTGCCTATGCGAAAGTAGCGATTCACATTGGATTTGAATCACTGGAGGTTAAATCCACTTGGAAAAACATTCTCAAGAAGTTTATTCCACATAAACGCAGTTCTCCAGATGAAAGAGTTCTTAAACAGTGAAGTTCGAGGTGTACTGAGTTGAACCTCAAAACGGTGAGCAATCACATGTACCGCTCTTGGTGGAATCAAATGTGCCAAGTCACTTGAACACACCCGTGAAAGTATCTATAGAAGAGATACAAATCTCCAACCTTTCTTCAATGTTCCAGGTTACACGTGATGTTCACGTCTCTAATTAGTCGGATGGCTCTTTTCTGGATAGAATCTAACAACTTCAAGGTATGTTTGGGGGCAGAGCTCCGTATATGAGAACAATACTCCAAAAAAGGTCTGATGTGAGCTTTATAAAGCATCCAAAGTTGCTGAGGTGTGTAGTTTTCTGGTTCGGAACAGTGTTCCAAGCTTCGATAAGCAGCCTTTGCAATTCCAGCAACATGATTGTGCCAATACATATTGCTGTCTTCTTTATGTCATGTTCATTAATGACATCTCTGACTATATAAAAAATTCAAAAAATAAGTTTTATACGCTGATGACTTCACAAAATATTTCTATCTGCCAAAACACTTAGACACCAAACTTTGCAACATATGAGTTCTATTTCTGTTTGCTGTAAGGGCATATAGTGTCTTTTTCTAGAAAACACCATCTCAAAATCAGAATATACTGCATTAACAATGTTTCGATAGAATGAATCAATGAAATGAATGACTCGGGAAGTCTTCATTACTTCAAATTCAATACCCATGTAGAAAATTTACAGACACAACACCTGGGCTGAAAAGTCCCGGGTCTAAGAAAGAAAACGCCTTTTTTTCAAAATTGGCTTTATTCATCAACGTAATCCCCTTCAAGAGCCACACAGTAATTCCAGCACCGCTCTAACGTACCACTTTTGTAAAACAATTTATTTTTTGTCTCAAAATAGGTCTCAGTTTCAGCAATAACCTCTTCATTTGAGCGAAATTTCTTACCGATGAGCATTTTTTTGAGGTCTGCAAACAGCCAGAAGTTGCTGAGAGCCAAATCTAATGAATATGGTATATGCGGGAGCAATTCGAAGCCCGTTTCATGCGATTTTGCCATCGTTTTCATTGATTTGTGACACTGTGCATTGTCTGGATGAAATAGCACTTTCTTTTTCTTCAAATAGGGTCGTTTTTTCGCAATTTCGGTCTTCAAACGCACCAATAGTGGTATATAATATTCACTGTTGATGGTATTTTCCTTCTCAAGATAGTCGATGAATATTACACCACGCACATCCCAAAATACCGAGGCCATAACCTTTCCAGCCGATTGTTGTGCTTTCGGGTGCTTTGGAGGAGGTTGACCAGTTGCTCTCCACCCACTTTAAACAAAGCTTTCTTATAGTCAAATGCTCATGCAATATAAAGTCAACACGTACTTTTGATATCTTTACAATGTCAGCTAACTCACACAACTCCACTTTTTGATCGTTCGAAACGAATTTGTTTTTTTTTATGATTTCTACCTCATTTGGACGTCCACTGCGTATCGTTCTGCATCGTCGGTGTCTCTACGACCACATTTCAAGTCAGCAAACCAACGCTCAATTGTTGTTTCTGATGGAGCGGAGTCCTTATATCACTTTTCAAGCCATTGTTTCGCTTGAACGGTATTTTTTCCCAAGAAGCAGTAAAATTAAAACACGAAATTGTTTTTTATCCATTGTTTTTAAAATAACAAAAGTAGTGTCACTCAGCACAATAACTCATGAGTAGAATATGAAATTTCAACAGCTTTATTTAAAAGAATAACTGAAAAAGCTGTGAATGCAATAAAACTAGCGCAATCTATGTGTTAGGCCCGATACTTTTCAGTCCATGCGGTAATGCGTCAGAATAGTAACTTCTATATTTTGAGCAATTGATGCAATTGCAATACATGTATAAACTCATACCTTCATTCTTAACTTGAATTACTTGGGTTATATACGGTCCCTTCTTGGGCTATATCTTATTGACATGCTAGCAAAAGAACAAAAACACTTCATTAGTGTTTTCGTTCTTTTGGTAGTATGTCATTATAGTATTATTATAACTGAAAAAATAAAATACATATTCACTTCTATACTCTTACAGAGGCGAGATGATTTTGCCAGGAAGCAGCTAATCACCTTCTCAGGAGGAGAATATCATATTAATCTGCCTTGCACTAAATTCTTGAGCAGCAATCTCCTCCAAAGCAAGTGAGCAAACTTGCTCACCAGCCTACATGACTAATTCTAATGTATCGTCAGGTATAGCTGACATACAGATGCCCTCATATGGGAAGGCTACTACAGTCAATATTAATCAATCAACTGGATTCTCTTCCTATTCGAGAAGAACTCCCATATGTATGTTACCAGAGCTGCACATTCCACCCTAAAAGTTAGTACCCTGCATCCACGGGAGAGTACCTTCCTAAAATGCGTCACAGGACACCTCTTTCCAAAGGAACACATTAGCCATATTGTGACTTCGTCCTGTTTAGAGAACCCAGAAGTTACAACCCATCTTATCCAGGTAAAATAAGATAAAAGTCTTTCTCTATGAAAGGTTATTGGGTCTCAAGTACAAGATCTTTTTACACAAAAAATCAGTGAGTTATATATGAAATCATCTATAATTGTAAAAAGGTAAAATATTTACCTGCAAAACAATGCATATTTCAATTGTTATTTTATGCAAAAAATTTAAACAAAAAAAAGTTAGTTCTGCAATTTGTACAACTTTTTTTTGATATATAAATTGCTGTTTCACCTACATGTTCCCTATCTTTCATGTTGCCTTATAAATGACAGATGAAGTGACTTTTTCACTGTATCCGATATATTTCTCATTAGTGTGGAAATTGATACAAATAATTTTTATTTGAAGGTTCAGTAATTGAAAGAAAGGGTTATATCATTGTCACAAATGTCGATAATAACCGCAATTGAATATCAAATTACATTTAATAATTTTGGCATGTCGTACGATCCAAATATCCTGTAATATTTTGATTGATTCGGCCGGTACATGCTGAAGATCCATAGTAATTTCAAAAAATACACCTCACGGTTTGATCTCCACAAACTTTGTGGAGATCAAATCGTAGGGTGTAGTTTTTGAAATTATTCTGTAATAAATGTTACAGCTGGAGAACTTACACATATATTTCCCTTACTTGTAACTATTTTTATATATGTTTGTTAGGAGTGAAGATGAAGCATACTTTCATAAGTATTGTCATAGAAACTACAGCGTAAGTTTTGGAAAAAACCGTGTTTATTGCAAATATGTATTTTATTAAAAAATGAAACTCAAAATTATGTCCAATAAAAATATTACTTTGAGGGGTAATTGGCGCAACAGTAACGCAAACATTATACTTGAATCCTCAACCTAAGCTAAGTTACTGACGCAAATGTTTCAGATAGAAGTGCGATGCCACCTTACATATTAATGCGCAAATGTGGTTTTTTTTTTCAGAATCTGCGTCCGGGAGGCACGTCTCTTCGCATTCCGCCAGGTCCGCCACCGCTTGAATAGCTACAATAGAGAATGGAGAATCTTAAACATTGTTATTAGGAACCACTATAAGGTCTACAATAGCCCAAATCCGAGAGATTGAATCGTTCAAACTTTTTCTAAACCTTTGAAAATATTTTTTTTTTACCAAGATTATCGAAGACATTGAAAACGGCAATTAATTTACTCACTGTACTAAAAAGACTTCAAAAGAAAGTTGAATTTTGCTTGTTTTTCATTTTCACAGAACACGTAATTAAATTTTGCATTTTCAACAAATATCATCAATGAGAACCCTTGGAATGCTGTTGAAATTTTTTTTTTTCAAAATTAATTTTGATTTATTCCATATTGTTTAGAAATATTCATGAACAGACTAAGGTATACTATCACTTCTACAGGGATAGTCATTGTACTCATCACTTACTGTGATGAGAACTTATCTCACGGGAAACTTACACAATGATTTAGAACTGCTGATTCATAAATATTGATAATAAAAAGAATAATGATTTAAATCCGGCATTAATTTTTTAGTTGAACTGCAGATTGAATGAGACTGTATTTCATATTTTATTATAAATAATATTAAGTAAAAATAATATTGTATCAACATGTGCTACGCCTGAGAAAAGGTTTTCATCATGAAGGAAAGAAGAAAGACTATTTTATTCTATTCAATTAAACGCAACTCTTGTCAAAAAATTATGATGGAGATAAATAAGATTTAACATAAAAACCATTTCATGTTTATTTTTTGGCCGTCAAGTTTTAGTTACTTTGGTTTAAAAGGCGACTTCTTGGAATTTTCCCGTTAGGATATACTTGCATAAACTTAAGAACTGGGCAACATACAGATGATTATTCTGACGGATATTCGTGATTCCCATCTTTTTTATTCGTCCAGACAAAATGAAACTATTACTTACTCTCGTTGTTGAGGAAGAGGAGGGTAGGCTGAGTCATATCCACCTCGAGGTGCAGACGTTCCTGCACCTCCTCCAGGTTGATAGGAATTAGTATATCCTGCAGAGCCTCCGCCATAACCACCTCTATCTCCGTATCCGCCACCAGAGGATCCATATCCACCACTAGAGGAACCGTATCCGCCAGCAGAGGAACCATACCCACCATCAACAGGAGAACCATATCCACCACCAGATGAAGAGCCATAACCTCCAGCAGATGTGGCACCATATCCACCAGCAGGTGGAGACCCATAACTTCCTCCATAACCAGCAGACGGCTCATCTGCATATCTTCCTCCCATTCCTCCCCCGTAGCCATTTGAGCTAGGACCATAGCCTCCAGCACGATTGTCGTAACTACTAGAAGTGAGAATAATTTTAAAAAAAATTATTTTCTATAATCACAATACTTACGTTGCCTTTGACAGTGCCCCTTGGTCTCTGCGACTGAACAAATCTCCACTACCAGACCGATCAAATGATCCACTTGGAACACCTCTATCACCTTGAGCATCTAACATTGGTCTACGTTCAGTCCCTGATCTTCTATCATCATATCCTCCTATGGGCCTTCTATCATCGAAACCCCCCCTACCACTGTCAAAGCCTTGTCTGTCATCATAAAGTCTACGATCTAAAAAAGTTGTTGAGAAGTTAGGCAAAAATAGATAACTGCTTCTATCTAAAGTTATTCACAATTGTGCCACAAATCAAAATAAAAAGATAGTCTTCCATTCAAATAAATTGAAAACATGAAATAAAAAATAAAGAAAAAAATCTGGCAGCAATACAAACCTGGTCCACCTCTTCTATCATCATATCCTCCTGGTCCACCTGAACGCCTGTCATATTCTCCAGCTCCTCCCATCCGTCTATCATCATAACTAGGTCCACCCCGTCTTTCATCAAACCCGCCTCCACCAAATCCACCTCTTTGTGGCCTGTCATATCCACCTCCCCTATGAGGAGGAAAGTCTCTCCCACCTCCAAAACCACCATTTCTGGGAGGCCCTCTGAAGTCCCCACCTCCTATTCAAATTGTATACATTTCATCAATTTCAACATGATTATAATTATGCTTAGAAAGGTTTACACGTATTCCATGAAAAAAGTTTAGGGGATTCAAAAACGAAAATATATATAATTGGTATTACTGAAGATCATATTTTTCTTTAGAAAATGAACACAAATAACAAATAGTACTATTTTGCCAACTCATGGATGTTATTCGCATAACACGTCATTGTAACAGGCAACAAGTGTTTCGCTATGTAATAGCTTTCTAAAGTGTTTTCATACTAAAACATTATATAGATCCCTATACCCTCACTGACTAACTGTAATATAGCACAAAAAAGGTGTTTGATTGGGTGAATCCTGAAATAGGAGTTATTAGTGACAAGTCAAAATTACCTCAATAATGCTAAAAAGTATCCACAGGAACTTGGACACAAATGTTGCGATTACAATTTTATGTACTTCAACATTAAAAAAACTAACTTACTACCTTGAAATGTTACCGCAATGTGGTGAATTCAAATGGCAATGGTATAGAAAACAAAACATTTTTTTAAATTTTTAGGCTTATTTATAGACAACAGATTAAATTTCCATAAACACATAATAACATTGAATTATGGCAAATAAACTTAATTCAAGCATAGCAAAAAGTGTCTATCATGCTTTGTTTTAATCTCAATTGAGATACAGAATAGCATTTCGGGGATTCTACAACTAACATCTTTGCCAATCAGTGTTTATTTTCAAAAACAAGCTGTGTGTTATTTATGAAAAGAAGGGCCACAGAAACCATGTAGATATTTCTATATAAAGGGATTTCTAGGGTTATATGTATTCTATTCTGGAATCTGTGTGCCTAATTTATAAGAGGATTTCAGTGATCTCCAAACTACAATATGCAGCAAATCGCAAACAAAAACTTACTTCTTCTTGTCCCTAAATCAGCCCTAACAAAGAATTCACTACTTTATGCAAGCAAAAAGCTATACTATCACATACTCTTGGAATTGAGAAATATTACTCCATATAAAATGTTCAGGAAATTTGTCAAAAAGGTTCTTCAGAAAAAAGCTTACAACCATGTTAGAATTTTACAAAGAAGCTCTGCTGTGATATGTTTTATTTTTTTTGACTAAATGTATTAAGGGTATAAGACATGCATCTTTATATGTGTGTGTGCATAATAATTGTTACATTCATATTGTATGCAATGTGCTTCCTATTTTGTCAATAAGAACTTGAATTTTTTTGGGCAAAATATATCGGGCTAGCCATCATTTTGAACTACAATGGCCATCTAGTGTTCAGTTATGATATCAAAATCTGGGCTTAAAAAAAGGAACATGTTTATTCATTCCCGCAAATAGCTACAACTTGTATTGATTAATTGTGAAACACTTTCAACAAAACCAATGAGAGTCATTAATGGTAGGTATTAAATACTTCATGTTTCACTTTGAAAAAGTTGTCATAATGTGAATCAATGACAGCATAGATCACATTTTTACTTTAGAGTGTGGAATATGAACGCTCCCATTGATTTACATTAAAACAACAAGCAAAAGTAAAAGTCAAAATAATATAATATTAATCAGCCAGGTATATAACTTCATAAATTATAATGTAAATGGGTGAGATAATTGCAAAGAAATTAAAAATTTTGTATGGGAAACTTTATTATAAGTTGCAAATTAATTAACGGTGAATATTCAGAATGTTGTAGACAGATGAAGAAAAATTGTTGGTACTTATGCAAATTGATATGATCAATCATCGAATTCAAAAAATGAATTATTTATTGTTTTCATTACCTCTAGAGTAAGGGCTTCCACGATCTCTTCCACCTCGAGGACCGCCTCCACCTCCACTTCGTCTTGGTTTGACACGACCCCTTTCAACAGAAATTTTAGTTCCCATGAAATCTGTACCATTCAACTCTTCAATGGCTTTCATGGCTAGTGCTTCATCCTCCAAATGAAGAAATCCACATCGATTTGCAATGTCACATTCGGAAATTTCTCCATAGGGTTCAAAAAGCTTCCTTAAATCTTCAGGTGAAGCTCCATTTGGCAGACTTCCAACGAATACTTTCGTAGAAGTTTCAGATCTTCCTCGGCTCTTAAAAAATTAGTTTAATAATACGTTAAAGTAACAGTAAAGTTGTATAAATACCATTGTTTCTTTTTAGAAGATGGAGTCGCTTTCCCAAATTAGATAACCAAATATAAACTCCCTCAGTCTTTCCTTCCGATAAAATGCAACTAGTGCAATGTTCAGTTTAAAATATATTAACAAAGTTACAAGTCGACAATCCTGTAGCAATAGCGGGAATGCTATATTAACAGTAACTTCTATGGCGTCGCATTGATAAAGCACTATATACAGTGTTACCACATTGTTTCGATGAAATTTCAAATAGTATAGTTACCAACCTCAAAAAAGTACAACTTCTGGCGAATCTAATTATCAATGACGTCACTACGAATCGTTTTTGAATACACGCTCGAATGCGATTAAACGCCAGAAAACACTTTTAGTTGTGGTGAGAGTGACAATTGGCAGATGATGGGTTTGAATTTTGAATATTTGATCCGGTTATTGTTGAAAGATACTTCGGTCAATTTCATATTGTTTAGGCAAAAATACATAAAAAATCGGAACCAATCATTTTTTGTAGTTGATAATTTAAAAAATATCTTATATTTTACATAGACGATTAGAACCATGAAAAAAATTGTAATGACTTGGCTAGGTAATTTTTTGCACTACACTGTTTCGGTTATTATCATTTGCCTCATTTCGGTAATGAAAAAAATTACTTACATAGATTAAATGAGGTTTATTTGTACAGTTATCAAGAAAGACATAAAAAACCTTGAAAACCTAATGCGATCCATGTAAAAAAAGTAAACTCTGAAACTCCCGATATTAAAAGACTTCTTTCTGTTTATTGAATTCAATTTACTCATTCTCTCCGGCTGCAGTTTCATTTTCATTAATCGTGCTCCAATGGACCCCAGGTTCCTTTTTCCACTCATTTATAAAATATTCTAGATGGAAACGCACACTTGTAATAAGGAACTGGGGACCCTTTTTAGACCAAAATATGCATCTACCCTTGAAACTCAAAATCTCAAAAAAATAATCAAGTTCCTTTAAACAATCACCCATCGTGTTTTTTCACATAAAACAGACTTCTCGACTAGACTATGTTGTCAACTAGGACACATTACATCTGCTCTGTATCCGTTATTTACGAGGAAGAGTGTAATCGGTTTACTCCAAGATCAATGTTAGGATCAGACAGATTTTTCAGTTGTCATTTGTCATATTCAAAAAAATTGGTTGAGTTTCAGGTATTGTTTTGGAAAATTAATTTTTGGCGGAATTTTTTACTTTTATCAGCACATACTATCTCCAGAAGAAAGTTAATGACACATTTTCATTGACTGATGATGCCTTCTTCAATGCTTGCCATTCTTAAATTGTTGAAAAATTGTTTGCAATTAAAAAAAAAATATAAATTATATTGCTCTTGTAGAAAAAATACTCTATCAATCATATATTAGAGGGTTTGTGATGACAAATAATACCACAAATGTTAACTTGTCATTCAAATAGAATCGATCGTTCGTTAAATATATTTCGCTCCGTTTACTTTGTAATCACGTGGTATCAAATCTGCACCTGCTAGCTCGGTTCCAGATTTTTCAAACCAAACACACTTTATATTGGCAATCATATAAATTTCATTCAAAAATAATGTTTAGAGTATGACGCTTTTTCTCTTGCAATTAATAATACATTCTCTCCAAATCATCATATAATGAATCAAATTTTTTGAATCAAATTTCAGATGGAAATTTCTATCGGATTTCGATTTTTTCTTGTTTTAAATTATCGATTTCAAGCCATGTTAGATAAATATTGAAAAGACACCTCTACGAAACCTTTTATCCCTTGGAAGGATTGATCATAGATTGAAAAATGGTTGTTACGCAGATTATGTGAAACATGTTCTACCTTACGAATCAGTAGAGAATTGTCCTGAAAACCTTGACAAAAAAATTGGATTGGATAATTTAGGATGCTATATAAATAGCATATTACAAGTGTTGTTCATGACGAAGAATTTCAAGAACGAGGTTTCAATGATGAACGAGAACGAAAATATTTCCTACTTATTCATCAAACTCAAACACCTGTTCATACAGCTGCATTTTCGTAAGAATGTATCATCTTTCCCTCCAACCGATTTCCTAGAGTCCTTGAAGTACACTACATACTCGTTGAGACAACAAGAGGATTGTTCCGAATTCTTGGGGTTCTTGTTGAATACTCTTCGTAAGCGAAAAAATACCTCTGACAGTCTATCTGGTCTTGTGTTTGTAAAGTTTTAGCTGGAAAAATCCTCACTTGTTCACTTTGCGCCAAACTAACCTACTGTTATAATAAAACAAGTATAGCTGAGGCACCAATCAATCTAAGAATGATTACATTGATGATCTTTAAACAAAACTCAACCTCTGACGGAAGCAAGAAACTCTTTCGAAGGTTAGAAATAGATGAACATTTCAATCTAGCAGACCACTGTTATAATATTCATGCAGTTATTGTTCACTGTGGTTCTGGCGTTGAATTTGGTCATTATTACGCCTTGGTCAAAGACGAAACGGACTGGTTTAAGTATGACGATAGTTGACGATAGTCATGTCATGAAGTGGTCTGGCGATGTATTGAATTTATTGGAGCCTCTGGCGACACCCTATTAGAGAGAGGACATTGTCAGATCAAGATCTTCAGATGATGTACTGCAGGTTTTTTCGGGTTTTCCTGCAGCTGAAAAAGCAAATGCGACACTGGAATCAATCAAGTCGCCCCGGAGCGACTTGATTTTTATAATTTAATGATTGGTATTTTGCAACAAATAGCTGCAAACAAAATTTGTAGGACTCATGGAGATATTTATTGTTAGGTTGTTTATATTAATGGTAATATTTCTCGCAAGACATATACAACAAAAAATCGCAATCACATCACAGAAGCAATTACTAGTAATAGTATTCCGTGACCCAGGGTTCATTTCATGTTCTTATTCGAATACTCTCTGTGACTGTAACACAAGACAAGATATAAAATATAAACCTCAGAGTTACAAAAGACTATAGACAAACAGAACATCATAACTATATAAATAAGGGAAAAAGTTAATTTTGAAAAATTATTTATATCCCAGTAGTTACGCTTTGTTAAAAAATTAAATTAATTCGAAAGTGTAATTAACACGCAAACCAGCCAATAAATGTAAATAACAAAGAAACATATTTTCCTACTAACCAAGTCAGTTGGATGTAAGTTATTATATTTTAATGACTTTTTATTTTAATTCATTTTACATATTTTTGTGATTATAATTAAGCACTTTTCAGAATTTTTTGGGCTCAGTTGTTGAGAAGTTCTCAGATAGACCTATTACTTCGAAGTGGTGAAGGAATTCACCTTGGTTTTCATTTATTCAAATTTCCATGATGGCAAAGTCCTGATGAAAGGTTTCAACCGACTCATCACTAACTAACCTTTCAACAGTTATCAGGTACAAATTGCAGCCAAAATCTTGAAATCAAGTCAATTTATCTTCTTTTTCTAAGAAGTTTGACAGACCATTTCCCAACCAGTTTTATTTTCGTCAAGGAAGTCTCAGACTTGGATTCCTTGGAAATATGTTTAATATGGCTGCTACAAGCACATCCTATTTGATTTTTACTGAATTGAATAACGGCTCTTATTGAGTTTTTGATGAAGCTGAGCTTGATGTGCAAAGAAGCAATGATGAGAATGAAGCTCTGCCAGAGGTGGGTGCTCTATATGATTTCTCCAGTTTCAAAAAATGCTTTCTGGGATCAGTTTCTCTTGATATAGTTCAAAATGGTCATCATTAGAGACACTAAGCTCTTTTAGAAACATGCATTGATAGAAACTTTATTTTCAATCAGCTACACTACCTTAAAACTCAGTTTTGAAACATCTATAAACAACTGGACAACAGGACAGAGTTCTTTCAGTAGATCATCATTTTTGCAAGATTTTTTTATAAGAAAAATCAAAAGAGCAGGTGATATATTTAGAATAAATTTATTTTTCAACATTTTGCATAAAAAGATTCCACAATGGAAGCCTTGAGGCCAACATCTTTTTCAAAATAATCTATTTTCGTTTTCTTAATTATTTTGTTTAATGTAGTGCAGATCTACGTACCCCATCTGTCTCAGTTCAAGAAAGCTTTGCTATCCTGATAGAATGTTTTATTATCAAAATTTGACTGATTCAATTATCGCATATATTGTCACTGGAAAATATTCTTGTCAACAAACTTGTTTTACCTGAAAGACCAATAATAAAAAATTCAAGTTATAGAAACTGCAACCCAATGATTAGAAATTATAAAAGTAGTGAAAGGGCAAGATTCTTATACTTGTATAAATAATAAGAGGAAAGCAGAACACATAGTACTGAAAATTGTCGTTATAGAATTCTTCTGAGCTCTAATGGGGTTTATCAAACAATAATGTTGTATTTTATTACTAGTAGCTATTATAATTGATGTATTCATATATTTCGCGATATTGACAATTTTTTCACATTTATCATAATTTTTAAGATTTGTATGTATATTAGGAATTCCTATTTCAAATAAAGATATATTTACCTGTTATTGAACCTTGTCATCTATTCCCTACACACTGGTATATTTCCATATATGCTGAAAGTATTAACAATAATTCCATTTCCAAAAGTAAATAATACGAATAAAGTCAGAAAATGCGACCAATAAATACCCTGTTGACCATAGGAAAACTATTAGAGAAAGTTGTTTATGTACAAATGATGAACTTTATAAATTATTCCAACTGAAAATCAATCAGGTTTTAGAATGACATAATTGTGAAGCAGCAGTCAAAAGTGATTTATTCGACTGGCAAATGTGGATAGATCAAAATATGAATATATGAGTAGTTAACCTGGATTTGACGAGGCAGTAGATAGAGAAAGGCTCCTGCTTAAATTGAGAAGATAACACATATCAGGTACAGTTTAAAAATGTTTGAGAACTACCTAAATAGTAGAACACAAGTAAAGAAACTTAACAATGTAACTTCTAGTGAAATTATTAATAGTAACTACACTAAGGAGTATTACCAAAATGTGTCACCCTCAGAACATACTACACAATCCCTCAAACACACTGCTTTATAGAACTACAAAAGTGAAACCTATAAAGGAGAGATTATCAGACCTAGGAAACCTCTTTGCCAAAAATGAAACTAACTTGGAGACCCTACAGGCATTATGTAGAGAAAGAGCTGAAGGACAACCATCCAAATTCAAATACCCAGAAAAAACTATTTGGGAAAACATCAAAGCACTCTCATAATTTTTTTTTTTTGTCAGAAATATAATGTACCTCAAATCTATTATGTAAGCATATGTAAAAATCACTGGAAATATTTAAAAATTGCACACTGGCTGAAGGACTTCGGTCGATGGCCCTTTGGTATTTTATTAATAATAATGGTGCACCTCAGGTCAGTACATTAGGAACACTCCTATTTCAACTCTATATAAACGATATCGTTAATGAGATGGATAAGTGAAAAATTCATCTCTTTGCCGATGGCACACTTGTATATTACTGTGCACATGATGTGGAACATCTGATAGATACAATGAATATTGAACTGCAAAAAATAATATAGGAATGTAGCCTTTCATGGCTGGCGTCAATGTTTTGATTGATTTCTGGGTTTTCCCATGGTCTTCTTTGAGTACAATCTCCGAACGCTTCAACTGCATCTGTGGTAGTCATCTTCAGTGGCGTGGTTGAAGTACTCTTCTTGACGTGTCAACTGAAATTGACGGTTGGAGACAATCGAACTAAACTGTTTTTAAGATAAATAGAAACTGAAGTGAACTATCTTAGCTATCGTTTCAAAAGAAATTATAATTGTTTCAGGTATATACTTGTATAAACTACTTAAATTCAGTGATAGAATTTACTTCTCTCCATTAGATGAGAAAATGTACAAAATCAATAGGAAAAGATGCAAGTGTTATATTTTTGGAGACATGATTGTCAATATTCTGAGAAATATGTGTACCAAAAGTATTTTAGATATTTACGTTTCAAATAATGTTATTGTACGCAATAACAAAATACCAAATAGATGTGTTTCCAATAGCACTAGTATTATTGACCACAGACTAACGAAAACAAAGAAGAAATTTTACTATCTTTGGTAGACAGCTTTATTAGTGACCATAAAATGCAGATTTTATTTGAAAATAATGAGAAACAGGATACTACATACTTGAAGACAATTTAAATTTCGAAATATGGAAGAACAGATGGCAGTCTGCACCTTCCGGTGCTGATTTCCATACTGAATCTCACCCTTTTACTTTTTTTAGTTCACATGTAATAATATAAGTGAAAATTATTAAAAGACCTTTATTATTACTATTATGGGGTCTATAAATGATATCAATACACTTTACGAAGAACTGTTAAACATTTTTGAAATATGTACTTGTACAAAAGTCATCAAAAAGAGAATTGACATTGAACCATGGTTTTCTGAAAACCTTCAAAAGCTAATGAACATTCGTGATAATAAGCGATCTTAGTGAAATTGGGGACACGTGTGAATCGTTGTATTCATGCCACGTGCCACTATGTGGGTGTCTGCAATATGCTGTGTAATGCCCGTTGTAAGTAGTCCCAGTGTGATTTGAAAGTGCATATAGATTATAACGACAAGGAGCCATATTGTCTGCTACATAATTGCTCATATCTAATCCATCTGAAGAAAAGTCAATGGAAACATTCAATTTGCCTCTGAATCTTTCTGTTGAAGAGAATCTTTTCAAATGAATTACTAAAATACGGGAAACTTATAGATTGATAGGTACTTTGTACATTTTCATCTTTCCTTGCACATCGAACACGTTGGTTTTTCATCTCCATCCAGAGTTTCCTCTCTTGTGAAGGAATCCAAGCAATGTGACAAACTCAATTGGCCAGTTCTTAGTGGTATGGGGAGAGACAAATCCCAGAAAGGATCGAAGGTTGCTGATGAGTATCTACAGTGTGTGGGCAGAACGCCAATATAGTTTATGCTAACCTTAGCACAGATTAGAGTCTCTAATAAATTTATGTTGAAACTAACTTTCCACGTCATAACGTATAATCTGAATCTGCGAGAGTTCTGCACCATTTGCAATAAAAAAATGAGACAATTTATCAAATTCTTTTTGAAGGCTATCAAAATTTCAAACACTAGTATCTTGCCAGTTGAAATGGTAATAACTAATTGATACTTCTATATCAGACCAACCAAATCACCCTGCATTCCGTCGTTATACAATCTTTAATTATTTCAGGTTTTGGATAAAATCGAATTCGGATTTTCAATGTCCATGCTTCCTCTTTCGTCTTTATTTTTTTGTGTCGTCTTTTGTCTTCCTCTTTGAATAGTGCTGAATGTTAACTCTGAGGTTGAATTTGCTACTTATTCATTTCGTTCGTTGTTCTGCTTTGTGTTATTCCTTTTATGGTATTACCATTATCTTTTCTGTTCTCGTCTGTGTTTGAAATTCGTACTTTCAGAACTCGTCTGTTTCTAGTAAGTAGTTGTAACTTCAAATAACGCATATGCAGCTTATCTTCTTCAACTTACAGATTCCTTTATAATTGTTCATATACATCAGGTATATCTAGTAACTGCTCAAACCTTCCCACTCAATTCGATGTAACCAATTCCTTTTATTTAGGTTTTCATTGATAGCCTCTTCTGAGTTTTTGTGGATATTGATATTATCGTTGAGTAGCAGCAAACTATCAAGTACTAAATCTATGAATTTTATTTAAAGTCTGCCTTGTCCATTGTTCTGTTCAACATTGTATATGTTCAAAATGTTTTTTCCGTCAACCAGCTAACGCACCCCTACGAACGACACTCCTCAGAAGTCGAAACTTGTGCGAGCTAAGAATTAACGAGGTCTTACCTTTTAACGTGTGATTCCTAACACAGGTTGGACGATAGCAAGTGAAAATCGATCGTTCAGCCTGCGGCTTGAACCACCGACTTACACATCAGTCGATTGACTGAGTGAACCGCCACGTCGAACCGCCGGCTACCGACCGACCGATAATATCAAGACTCCAAGCTTTTCCATATTTGAATTGTCCACTATCCTCAGTTCCTCACAAAATCTCAAATCATATTTGTTTTTATCGATTACTTACCGTTAATGAAAGATTAAATTGAAATTGATAAAGACGAGATTAACTCGAAATGGGATATTCTGATAAATCAATTATTAAATGACATCGAATGAAGTTGTTCTAACCTAATGAATTTGTAGATGTGTGCCAGGTCTTTATTTGATTAGATTTTTATTTCAGCTGAAGAATTGAATAATGAGAGTGAAAAGGGCTGTGACAATAGTGGGGTTTCTTATTATCATAATAGTAGTTTTCATAATTTATTCAGCCAAAGATCTTGATGGATTTCCCATGAAAGAATCTTCTATAAATCAAGATTTTCAAGAGGTAAGTTTGGATTTTATTTAATTTTACTTATAAGTAGAACATTAGTTTGCTCATTTTAAACGTTATGTGGGTCAGTCACATATCGATTTGAATCTGTTTGTATACAAATTAAGGAAGTTTCTATAAATTTCAATACTTTTCTAGATAAATGACATAGTAGGTGCTTTAGACTCTCTCTGCTGCTCTCTGTAGCAAAATCGTATACAAAGTAAATAATCACTTTTGTTGAATTCAGTGTATATGATATTCAACACTTTTGCGAGGATATTCAGAAAGTAAATCTTGTACAATTGAGAGGCAAATATTATTATTAATTGACGTGGTTCTTCGGATCAACTTTAATTTTTTGTCGTTGTTGAACACAAAGGTATGCCTCTGATACACATGACGCACTGCATACCTTGTAAATCAGTCCAAAAATCGAAACCGACGTTGAAAATCTTCATAATCAGCAACACACCTAACAGTCGACGGAATATAAATACAGATCTCAAAAGTGATTTCAATGAGAAAATATAAACAGATACCCATCTCCTATCCACTAGAAAAAGTTGACACTTCTTCTTACCTGAGAAAATATTCAGATTAGTAATAATCAAGTATAATTTTAAAAATGTGACATTTTACACTAACAATTTGTTTGACGAACACTAGCTTTCAAAAAAGAGTAGAAATGATTATTATTGGTGTTTTATCCCAACAACAAACCATTATTTTTAACACTTTGACACGTGCTTCGATCACCAATTGATCATCTTCAAGAGGTATTTGAAAAATATATCACAACACGTATTACAGGTATTACAGATATTAGTAAGTCATTAATTGATTATGTGATACCCAATATCAATGAAAATAATATAGTAGTTAAAGTACATGACTGTCCAAAAATAACGGATCATTCGGTTATTTCAGTTAATTTCTGCAATGAAATCAAGGTTAATAAGAACGTCAAAAATTTTAGAAAAATTAATGAGGAAAATATAGACAGTATTAAAATTAACCTAATGATGCACAACTTTAAATTTAACTTCTGTTGACGTTGACACAATTTATAATGAAATTTTGGAGACATGTGAAACTGTAATAAATAGAAATGCCCCTAAAGCAGTACTGTTATTCCTATTCCAAAAATAGCAAACACCAATAAAGCACCATTGTCTGAATCCAAGTACAGTGAACAAGTTTAAGTAAAAAGTTCGTTGCATCACGAATACTCTTCTTAATAATTACAATTTGATGTATGTATAAAGCATCAACATTGAACATCTATACGGACGGCATCATCAAAAAGTCGGCTGTTTTTCTAGTGATATCTGTTTTTCTCGGCGCTCCCAGAAAAAACCCGGTGAACCGAGGCTAGCCACTAGTGTACTTTATTTATATTTTCGAGGCAGGACCTGCTTTAAAAACTCACCATGAATTGTTGCAAATGCAAATTAGTTATTGGTGATGAGGATTATTTGGAATGTGACTCGTTTAAGAAACCAATACATAGTCAGTTTGTCTGCTCCGAACTAACAGCATCAGAAACGAAATGTATGTCACTCAAAAAGCGTACACTTCGGTTTTTATGCAAGGACTCCTGTAGCGGATTACTTCAAATTCCCTCTATTGTTCAGTCAATTGAAGCACTGAAATCTGAAATTGAAACGTTGAACAATCACAAGCCCGAACCTTCAAGTCTACCCTCGCATGAGACAGCTATCAACTTCAACGAGATAATTGCAGAAATGACGCAACGTGAAATTCGGAAAAAGAATGTAATGATTTTTGGTTTGCCTGAATCTGATAATTCAGTTGATAGAACTACTGCCTCAGAAATAATAAACGCTGCTAATCGTGATATAGACCAACAAGGAAATTTTAATATGAAAGTATTTAGAGTAGGACTCCTGAACGTGGACGCAAATACACCAAGGCCTCTTAAATTAATTTTGCAATCGCCTGAAGATGCAATGTCAATTATTCGTGAAGCCAAAGTCGTTAAGGGAATAGCTAAGTTCAGTAACCTTATTATCACATCGGACAAAACTCCGCTCCAAGTCAAGCAATACAAATCTGTGAAACAAGAATTAACTAACCGTTTGGCTAAGGGTGAGCTAAACATAAGCATCAAATACGTGAATGGGGAACCAAAAATAACAAAAAACCGTTAACTGTGTCTAACCAGGAGCAACACTCACTTCTTCATTGCTATTATCAGAATACCCGAGGCTTAAATACCAAAACCCAAATATTTTATGAAGCTGCATCAGCTGCTGAGTATCATCTCATAGGAATCTCTGAAACCTGGATACAATCCAACATAAATAACTCCAAACTATTTGGTGAGCCATATCAAGTTTTTAGATCAGATAGAAACCTCAATGCGAACTCGGTGTCAAGAGACTGTGGTGTTTTACTGGCGGTTAGAAACAACTGTGGTGTTACGGAAATAGTCATATCGGATCACAGACAACAGTTCATTAGTATTGATATTGTCGGTTGTGAAATATCATATTATCATTATATTCTATTGGTATTTGCTTTTTTAATTAAAAAATGTTTGATTCTGTATTTGAACTCCTTCAAAGGTAGATTTTTGATATTTTGGGGAAGCGAATTATACATTTTTGGAGCATAATAATTTACGCCAGTTCTGTTAACGGCTACATCCATCATTTTATTGAAAGAATAAAATCAAACTATTCAGAAACTTTACGTGATCAATTTAGTCATCTTTGTAGGTCAATAAAAACCTAGATATTACAAGCCTACAAGGAGTACAAACAGAAAGCAGAAAATTTGATCACAACTGATCCCTCCCCATTTTGGACCTATATGCATAGTAAAAAAGGCACTTCAAGAATTCCGAATGTTTTATTCTTAAATGATAGAGAACTGGAAAACTCTACTTCAATAGTGAATGCATTTGCTGAATTCTTTGAAAGTGTGTATGTTCCTTCTGATAGTAGTAATGATAATAACCCCTCAAGAAAAACAACAAATTTTCCCACAATATCAATAAATGCATTCTCCGAAGAAGAGATTTTGCAAACTCTCAGAAAATTAAAACCAAAATTCACAGCGGGATATGACAAAATTCCGAGCTTTCTTTTAAAAGACTGTGCATACATTTTTGCAAAGCCACTTCATTTAATTTTTAACATGGCCTTGAGGACTGCGTGTTTTCCCGATAGATGGAAAGTATCTAAAATATGTACAATACTGAAGTCAGGGGCTCCAAATAACATTCTGAACTATCGACCCATAACAATTCTGTCTGTATAACAACATTTTTCCGAAAATAAACGTTCAACAATAACTAATCTTGTGTGTTTTACACAAACGGTCAGCACTGAGTTAGATAAACAGCTACAGGTGGATACAATCTATACAGACTTCTCAAAGGCCTTTGATAAATTGAACCATCAAATTCTACTGAATAAACTTTTTTCTGTTGGTTTCGATAGTCAACTGTTAAATTTACTACAGTCTTATCTTCAGAATCGTACGCTATCTGTAGAATACAAAGGACACAAATCTAAAGAATTCACTTCAAATAGTGGTGCTCCTCAAGGAAGTAATCTAGCTCCTCTTCTATTTTCTTTGTTTATAAATGATATTGTTTCAAATATATCTAGTAACATATTACTCTTTGCTGATGACTTGAAGATTTTCAGACCCATTGAATCAACCGAAGACTGTCTTATTCTGCAATAGGAAATTAATTCGATACATGAATGGTGCATACTAAACAAGCTTCCATTGAATATTCAAAAATGTAAATTTATGAAATACACCCTCAAGCACAACAATATACAGTTTGACTATGCAATAAACGATATCACTTTAGAACAAAGCACTGAAACTAAAGATCTGGGCATTATATTCGATAAGAAACTTAGCTTCACGTCAAAAATTAATCAAATCACATCTTCTGCAAAAAAAATGCTTGGCCTTATCTTCAGGACGTGTAGAAACTGTCGAAACCAAAAATGTTTTATAACACTTTTTAATGCATATGTCCGATCTCGTCTGGAATATGGCTCCTTAATCTGGTCACCTATATACAATGTGCATATACAGCAACTTGAATTTTGTAAAAGAATCTTTATGAAATACATGGCTTACAAACTGGATGGAGCTTACCCATCCCAAGGAATTGATAATAGAGTGTTGTTAAATAGATTTGCCCTGTATCCTTAGAAAACAGAAGAACATATTATGCCTGTATCTTCATATATAAATTGATACATAATCTGGTTGACTGCCCTGATTTGTTATCTCAACTAGAATTTCACGTACCGAGACGAACTAGTAGAAACGAATTTTTTTTCTATTTGCCTTTGCCTAGGATCAACGTGTTAATAAAATCTCCAGTTTATGACATCTGTAAAATTTATAATTGTTTCTATTCAGAATGTGATATTTTTGTTGTTTCATTTGGACGCTTTAAGTATATAATTCGTAACAAGCTATTTTCTATGCAAGTCGAACTAGAATCTAATTTCAACCCATAAGTGAAATACTGTGTTTCAACTCTCTGCACACTGCCAATTCTATTAGAATTCTACAGTATATGTTTTTTTATTATTATTATAGTATGAATGTATCACTGTATAATATCTATACTACTCTATTACTCTGCTGATTTTATATGCTATTCGTTATATTCCATTGTACTCATACTTAGTCATAGCTGTAAACTTAATTATATTTGTCTTGTAATTGGGATTACTCCTGTTAGACAAT